TCCAGCCATGGCGTGTGTACATGTGAGATTGTGTGTTTGTGTTCAATGCCCGGAGGATTCCTTGTAAAGAAGCTGATGACAGACTTGATTGCACGATATGTACCAGAATCATCTTGCCGTCGAATGAATGAGTCGTAGACGGACACGTTTCCAGAGTCGAATCCTGAATCTTCAACATGACAGCTGCTCTGCTTGTCATAGTGCCATAGCCACAGTCAAGCGCTGTTTAAAATACAATAATTAATCTTTGCAGGTCGGACATTCCAGCGAAGCTGCGGAATCAGCCTATGATCAGAATCGTTTTCCATCTTGCCGCTTTGCTAATTGTCAGAATGAACAATCTGGAAGTGACTGGTCGGAGCGCGAAAATTCATTCGATTTTTATAATCCGTTTGGGAGGGAGCAGTATTTGCCAGCCTACATAATGTGTTACGAAACTAAGTCAAGAAACATCTATATGTTTCCGATCACCGATCCAAACATGCTTATCGGTTATTTAGAAGGACTGCGGATACAGGAATTTCAACGCCAACTGTGGCATCCGCAAGACACAGAAACCAACTTCTACATTCCAGTGGTTAAAGACAGTTACGGACAGTATCAGTACCTGGTATTCTTTTGCAAAATGTTCAGTTTTATGTAAAATGATTTCTTTTAGAAGTTGAGCATAGACTCAGCAGTGGTGGGCATCGAGTCAGAGATTCTTTTTACTTAATACCCTTTCAAATTAAATGTTTTTGTTCCAAATGAATAGCAGTGCGCACTAACGAGCGATGTGCAATGTGCTTTTGCGAATCTTTGTTACTCGATCAGTTTGAATCTAACTGCAAATCCAGACTGAAACATATAAAAGATGCAAAACAATTTCGGGGCTGTGTCTCGTGCATAGGCTAAAAATGTGCTCACAAAATCTAGGTTTTCTCGATTCCACGCCTCTGACACTGAATTATGAAGCTGACGAAAGCATATGAACTTGATCTCTTCAAATTGCGCTTCAGTTTGTGTGAATTTAAAGGGATTTTGACGTCAGTAATGTTACGAGGGCACGGAGAACGTAGGAGCCGCAAGAACACGGCTATGCTGACTATTCTATCTTGTGCTGCAAAATTCCAATTGCCGTTGCTTGAACAGCAAATCTAAGACCGCTCGAAAGATTATTTGCTTTCCAGAGAGTGCGAGATTTTTACCTAGTGGTTGCTAGTAATGTTCGCACATCCTAATCACAAAAATCCCACCTCGTTATCCGCTCTCATTCCTAAGCCCCTTTCCCTTTTCGCGAGCGTTTGTTCATCTGCCTTCGTTAGTGACTTTCAAAACATGCTAACGAAGGGGTGGAAAAAGCACTTGTGGTTGAACAATTTGCAATTTAAGCAACATTTCAAATGTGAGAAAAAAGTGTTGGCTTCTAGGTGGAAGATTGCTTGCTTTATGCGTGCAAAAATGCAATACGTTTGTCATTACGCGTTTTTGCTTATACGCAAATGCAACCCAGGCTGGAACGCACCCGGCGGGCCCGTGTGATCGTGCGTTTTTGCACCGGACTTGAAGTACTCAGGTCATTAACTGCATGAATGGTTGCTGCT